TTGATATTTAGAGAGAGAGTGGGGATGGAACCTGAAACTGGGAATTGAACCCAAGACCCTTCCGCCGGAGGGCTGGTGCTCTAACCACTGAGCAACCGGCCGGGGCAGTTTCTGTGTCATTTTGACATGTGTGAACACTTCCTTGCTTTCTAGCAAAAGATGGTCCAGGCTGACCTGGTACTTTCTGTGCCACAGACCTAGTAAAAGCCATTTCTCCAAGGAGCTTTCAGTAGAAAATGTATTTAGAAACCAAAGTTTGGATATAAAATATACTCATTGCTATTGAGGTGCCATTGTTTTTAAGTACTCTCAGGGGAAAGAGCAAGAATATATACACATGGCAAAGACTTTGAGATTTTATTATATGTTTTTTAACATGTGTATATACTTGCCATTAGTTTCTTGCCTTTTTAGCTTTATTTTCATTCTTTTATTTTTTATTGATATGGATTTTCCTCATAAATGGTTTAATTCTATTCCATAAATTTTGACATGTGGTATGTTCATTATCATTAAATCTTAGAAATTTTTTTTTATCATTTTAGTATTTATTTCCTCTTTCGCACAAGACTCAAGAATTTTTAAAGTTCCAGGTAGAAGAACTTTTCCGGTTTTAAATTTTTCTTATAATTTCCATACTCATTTCACTGAGATCTGAGAATGTTTATATTATTCCTACTTTATGAAACTCATTCAGGTTCTTGTTGTGATGGTCAACTTTTGTGAATGTTCTGTGAGCACTTGGAAGGTGTATTCTCTATTATCAGGGTGTTAAGTTCCATACATAACCATAAAATCTACAGGCATACTTTGGAGATGTTGCGGTTTTTGGTCCCAGACCACCACAATAAAGCCAATATCTCAATAAAGCAATTCACATATTTGCTTTTGGTTTCCCAGTGCACATAAAAGTTATGTTCACACTATACTATAGTGTATTAAGTGTGCAATAGCATTATGTCTAAAAAACAATGTGCATACCTTAATTAAAAAATATTGCTAACCATCATTTGAGCCTTCAGTGATGGTGGAGGCTCTTGCCTTCAAATTGTAATAACACAATATCTGAGAAACATAATAAAGTGAAACACAAAAACACAAGGTATGCCTGTATCTTACTGATTCTGTTTCTTAGGTCTTCTGTATACTAAATGTCTATGTAAACTGTCTTGAACTGAGAGTGGTGGGTTAAAATTTCCTATTAGTAAATTTCCTATTAGTTGTTTTGATTTATTTCTCCTTGCATTTCTTGTAGTTTCTGCTTTATAAAGAAAGACATTTGTAGGGATTTTTGTGTACAGACAGTCATTGCTTTTCACAGAGTATCCTCTTTGTTGTGTTTAATGATTCTTGGCCTGAGTTCTACTTTGCCTGATACAAAGATGATAGTCTTGCTTTTGTATTGCTTCCATTTACCCGGTAAACCCTTGCTTATCCTTTAATTTTTACACATTCATTTCTGACTCGTTTTATCTCAAAAGTGTCTCTTATGAACAGCATAGAATTAGGTTTTGCTTTGTGCACTATTTTGAGAATCTTTTCCTTTTTTACTTTTTCTCACCTACGGATATGTTTTTATTGATTTTTAGAAGGAGAGGAATGGGGGGAAAAAAGAGAGAAAGATCAATTAGTTGTTTCTGGCATGCAACACAACCAGATCGAACCTGCAAGCAGGTATGTGCCCTGACAAGGAATCAAACCCTTGACCTTTTTGTGGACTCAATGACGCTCCAACCAACTGAGCCACCCAGGCCTGGGTGAGAGTCTTTTCCTTTTAATAGGTGAGTTAAACCCATTTACATTTATAGATGTGATGGAGAGGTATGGTCACAACTCTATCATATTATTTAATGTTATATTTATAGTATTATGTTAATTTTATTGTATTTCTTTATGTAGTTGGTTTTCTTTATTTTTGTTAATTTCTTTTGGTATTTAGGAATGTTTGTATCTTTGTTCTCTAGATTACCTTTTTGATATTACCTTTTAAAATTTTATTTTATTTTTTATTATTGTTTAAAGTATTACAAATAGTAGTACATATGACTCCTTTTCCCCCATTCACTTTCCCCCGGCCTCCCCTACCCCACGGCACATGCCCTCAGCCCCCCAATGTCTGTGTCCATTGGTTATCCTTATATGCATGCATACAAGTCCTTCAGTTGATCTCTTATAGCACCCCCCCCAACTCTCCCCTTCCTTCCTGCTGTAGTTTGACAGTCTGTTTGATGCTTCTTTATCTCTGTATCTATTTTTGTTGGTCAGTTTATGATGTTCATTATATTCCACAAATGAGTGAGATCATATGATATTTATCTTTCTCAGACTGGCTTATTTTGCTTAGCATAATGCTCTCCAGTTCCATCCATGCTGTTGTAAATGGCAAGAATTCCTTCTTTTTTACAGCAGCATAGTATTCCATTGTGTAGATATACCACTGTTTTCTAATCTACTCATCTGCTGATGGGCATTTAGGCTGTTTCCAAATCTTAGCTATTTTAAATTGTGCTGCTATGAACATAGGGGTGCATATGTCCTTTCTGATTGGTGTTTCTGATTTCTTGGGATATATTCCTAGAAGTGAGTTACTAATTCAAATGGGAGTTCCATTTTTCATTTTTTGAAGAAACTCCGTACTGTTTTTCACAGTGACTGCACCAATCTGCATTCCCACCAGCAAGAGGGTTCTTTTTCTCCACATCCTCTCCAGCACTTGTCGTTTATTAATTTGTTGATGATAGCCATTCTGACAGGTGTGAGATAGTACTTCATTGTTGTTTTGATTTGCATCTTTTGGATGATTAGTGACTTTGAGCATGTTTTCATGTCTCCTGGCCTTCTGTATGTCCTCTTTTGAAAAGTGTCTATTTAGGTCCTTTGCCCATTTTTTGATTGGATTGGTTTATCTTCCTGTTGTTAAATTGTATGAGTTCCCTATAAATTTTGGAGATTAAATCCTTTTCTGAGATAATATTGGCAAATATGTTCTCCCATGTAGTGGGCTTTCTTGTTTTGTTGTTGTTGTTGATGATGATGGTTTCTTTTGCTGTGCAAAAGCTTTTTTTTTATGTAGTCCCATTTGTTTCTTTTCTCCTTAGTTTCCATTGCCCCAGAAGTTGTGTCGGTAAAGATATTGCTATAACAAATGTCTGCTTTTTTTGCTCCTATGGATTCTTCTAAGATTTTTATGGTGCAAGTTGGTGGTCTTTCATTTTTTTTTGTATGTATCTGTCCAATTTTCTCAACACCATTTATTATAGAGACTGTCTTGACTCTTTTGTCAAATATTAATTGAGCATAATGGCTTGGGTCGAATTCTGGGTTTTCTGTTCAGTCCCACTGGTCTATATGTCTGTTCTTGTGCCAGTACCAGGCAGTTTTGAGAACCGTGGCTTTGTAGTATAGCTTGATATCTGGTACTGTGATCCCTCCAACTTTGTTCTTCTTTCTCAGGATTGCTATAGCTATCCGGGGCCTTGTTTTTATTCCATATGATATTTTTGGAGAGTTTGTTCTAGGTCTTTGAAGTATGCCATTGGTATCTTAATGGGGATTGCACTGAATTTATAGATTGCTTTGGGTAGTATGGAGATTTTAATGATGTTGATTCTACCAATCCATGAACATAGTATATTCTTCCATTTGTTTATGTCTTCCTCTATCTCTTTTTTCAAGGTCCTGTAATGTTCTGAGTACAGGTCTTTTACCTCCTTGGTTAAATTTATTCCTAGGTATCTTAATTTTTTTGTTGCAATGGTAAATGGGATTGTTTTTTAGTTTCTCTTTCTGTGAGTTCATTACTCGTGTATTTAAAAAAAGCCATAGACTTCTGGGTATTAATTTTTTTTTCCTGCTACATTGCCGAATTTATTTATTAAGTCTAGTAATTTTCTTTTGGAGTCTTTAGGGTTTTCTATGTACAATATCATGTCATCTGCAAATTATGACAATTTTACTACCTCTTTTCAATTTGGATGCCTTTTATGTCTTCTTCTTGTCTGATCGCCATGGCTAGTACTTCCAGTACTACGTTGAACAGGAGTGGTGAGACTGGGCATCCCTGTCTTGTTCCTGTTCTTAGGGGAAATAGTTTTAGTTTTTGTCCATTGAGTATGATGTTGGCTATAAGTTTGTCATATATGGCTTTTATTATGTTGAGATATGATCCTTCTATTCCCACTTTGCTGAGACTTTTTATCAAGAAAGGGTGCTGGGTTTTGTCAAATGCTTTTTCTGCATCAATGGATAAGATTATATAGTTTTTTATCTCTCAATTTGTTTATGTGGTGTATCACATTTATTGATTTGTGGAAATTGTACCATCCTTGAATCCCCGGAATAAATCCAACTTGGTCATGGTGTATGATTTTTCTAATGTAATGCTGGATTGAATTTTCTAGAATTTTGTTGAGAATTTTGGCATCTATGTTCATGAGGGATATTGACCTATAATTATCTTTCTTTATATCAGTGGTTCTCAACCTGTGGGTCGCGGCCCTTATGGGGGGTCGAACAACCGTTTCACAGGGGTCGCCTAAGACCATCAGAAAACACATATATAATAACATATTGTTTTTGTGATTAATCACTATGCTTTAATTATGTTCAATTTCTAACTATGAAATTGGGGGTCACCACAACATGAGGAACTGTATTAAAGTGTCTCGGCATTAGGAAGGTTGAGAATCACTGCTTTATGTTGTCATTATCTGGTTTGGGGATTAGGTTAATGCTGGCTTCATAGAAAGAGCTTGGAAGTGTTCCTTCCTCTTGAATTATTTTGAATAGTTTGAGGAAGTTAGGTTTTATTTCTTCTTTGAATATTTGATACAACTCCCCTATGAAGCCGTCTGATCAAGGGCTTTTGTTTGTTGGAAGTTTTTTTTTTTTAAATATATTTTATTGATTTTTACAGAGAGGAAGGGAGAGTGATAGAGAGTTAGAAACATTGATGAGAAATATCAATCAGCTTCCTCCTGCACACCTCCTACTGGGATGTGCTGCAAAGAAGGTACATGCCCTTGACTGGAATTGAACCTGGGACCCTTTAGTCCTCAGGTCGACACTCGATCCACTAAGCCAAACGAATTAAGGCTGTTGGAAGTTTTTTGATGACTGCTTCAATTTACTCCGTAGTTCTTGGCCTATTTAGATTTTTTGATTCTTCCTAGTTGAGTTTTGGAAGGTCATATTTTTCTAGGAATATGTCCATTTATTCTAGGTTGACCAGTTCGTTGGAATAGAGTTGCTCATAGTATTTTTTCCCGAGTCTTCATATTTCTGTGGGGTCTGTTGTTATTTTGCCTCTTTCATTTCTGATTTTGTTTATTTGAATCTTTTCTCTTTCCTTCTTGGTGAGCCTGGCTACAGGTTCATCAATCTTGCTTACCCTTTCAAAGAACCAGCTCTTGGTTTCATTGATCTTTTGTATTGTTTTTTTGGCCTCTATGTCATTTATTTCGACTATAATCTTTATTATTTCCTTCTTTCTGCTTACTCTGGGCTTTTCTTAGCCTATAATGCTATGAACTTCCTTCTCAGGACTGCTTTCACTGTGTTCCATAGATTTTGGATTGTTGTGTTTTCATTGTCATTTGTTTCCAGGATAGATATTATTTCTTCTTTTATCTTTTTGGTAATGCAATAATTATTTAACAGAATGCTATTCTGCCTCCAAGTGCTTGAATTTTTGTGATTGTTTATATTGTAGTTGATTTCTAATTTTATGCCATTGTGATCTGAGAAGATGCTTGATATGATTTCAATCTTCTTGAATTTGGAGAGACTTTGCCTGTGTCCCAAAAGGTGGTCTATGTTTGAAAATATCCCTTGTGCACTTCAGAAGAATGTATATTTTGTAGCTTTGAGGTGGAATGTTCTGAAGATGTCGACTAAGTCTATCTGATCTAGTGAGTCATTTAGGATTGCTGTTTCTTTGCTGATTTTTTGTCTAGAGGATTTATCAAGTGATGTTAATGGGGTATTAAAGTCTCCTACTATGATTGTCTTGCTGTCAATCTCTCCCTTGATATCTTCCAGAAGTTTTTTTTTATGTATTCGGGTGCTCCTGCATTGGGTGCATATATGTTTACAAGAGTTATAACCTCTTGTTGTATTGATCCATTTAGAATTATGAAGTGACCTTTCTTGTCTCTTATTATGGTCTCACTTTGAGGTCTATTTTGTTAGATATGAGTATTGCTACCCCAGATTTTTTTTTTTCATTTTCATTTGCCTGAAAGATATATTTTCATCGCTTCACTTTCAGTCTATGTGAGTCACTTGTTCTGACATGGGTCGCTGGTAGATAGCATATATATCAGTCATGTTTTCTTATCCACTCAGTCACTTGATGTCTTTTGATTGGCGCATTTAATCCATTTACATTTAATGTTATTATTGATAGGTACTTGTTTGTAGCCATTTCTATTCTTTATGCCTGTGTTCCTTCCTCTCTTCCTATTTCTTCTTCTTACAGCATCCCCTTCAGCATTTCTTGCATTGCTGGCTTGGTAGTGATAAACTCCCTTAGCCTGTTTTTGTCTGTGAAGCTCCTGATTTCCCCTTCTATTTTGATTGATAGCCTTGCTGGATAGAGTATTCTTGGATTCAGTCCTTTGCTTTGCATCACTTTGTATACTTCATTCCATTCCCTTCTGGCCTGACGTGTTTCTGTTGAGAAATCATTTGATAATCTGATGGGGGATCTTTTGTAGATAACTCTCTGTCTCTCTCTCTTACAGCCTTCAAAATTCTCTCTTTGTTGTTAACGTTTGCCATTGTAATTATGATGTGTCTTGGTGTGGGTCTTTTGGTGTTCATCTTGCTTGGGACTCTGTACTTGTGTGATTTTTTTCTTCCCAGTCTCAGGGAAGTTTTCTGTCATTATTTCTTCAAATAGATTCTCTAATCCTTGCTGCTCTTCTTGTCCTTCTGGAACCCCTATTATATGTAAGTTATTCCGTTTCAGGATGTCCCATAGCTCCCTTAGGCTCTCCTCCTACTTTTTAATTTTTTTCTCCAGTTGCTGTTCAGATTGGGCTTGTTTCTCTACCTTATCTCCTAACTCACTAATTTGGTCCTCTGTTTCTTCTAGTCTACTGTTGAAACCTTCCATCACATTTTTGATTGTATCTATATCACTTTTGATTTTTTCCTTTTTTTTCTTTTTGCAAAGGTTGTTGACTTTCTCACCCATCCGGTTTATGAACTGTGTGACCATTACTCTGTATTCTTTTTCTGACATATTGCATGCCTCTGTATCACTTATTTCCTTTCATGGTGATTGCTCTTTTTTCTTTTTTCTGGGATTGTTTTGTTGTCTCCCCATTCTAACTATCACCAGAAGATCCAAGCACCGAGTTGCAGGGGACTGAGCCATGTGAGGAAGGAACGTCGCACCACCCAAGCATCACTGAAGAGCTGACACCAAGATGTGTGTGCTGTGGTTGGCTGGAGCCGTGCACACCGAGAATCAGAGTCCCCACATACCTGCGCCAAGAATCAGAGTCCCCAAGTGCACACAAGAATCTGGGTCCCCCTGTGCACACACCAAGAATTGGAGTCTCTGGGACTCCATGCGGCCTCATGTGCCCTCAGAGAATCAGGTTCCCTTGCACACACAATGAGAAACAGAGTCCCCGAAGTCACTGGCACTCAGTGTGGCCTGTGCACGCACCAAGAATCAGTCTGCATGCACCAATAATCAGAGTCCCCATGCACACGTGACCAGAAACAGAGTCCCTGCTTGCGTGCGCCAAGAATCAAAGTCAGTGGTGCTCAGTGCGGCCTTCAGTGTGCTCCGATAATCAAAGTCCCTGGCCTGCTAGCGGGGCAGGGTTGCCCAGCTTCCCGGTGTAGGCAGGAGGCCTGTTCATGCATCACTGGTAGCACAGGCCCTATGCCTCTGCAGCGGGTTGGCGGGGAGGGGAATGCGCTCTGTGACTCACAGAAATCTGCGGCCTGGATGTCTGGAGTCTTGGTTTACCTGGGTCTGCAGCTGTGGTAGCAGGTATTTGTCCAAAGTGGCTGTAGGGTCCTGGTTTGTGTCTGAGGCCAGTCTGGGTGGTGGTGAGGCTAGAATCCTAGTCATTGCAGTTCTGCCCTTCAAGATGGCGTGGTTTCTTGATATTATCTTTGATAATGAAGTTAGTCCCCCTTCTTTTTGCTTTACCTTATACTCTTTGGTTTGTCAGCTTGAAATTATATTCTTTGACTTTCTATGTGACAAGCAGTGAGATTATATTATTTTCCCTTTTCTCTTCTCCTCTTAGTTTTAGCTGTATTATCACTACTTTATCAAAATATATTTAATTTACAAACTATTTTTTCATACATGTATCTACCTTTGTTTTAATATTAAACCTACCAGTAAGTAGATCTAATGTACATCAGCAGTTCTTTTGCCAAAGTTGCTCTCATCACCTCTTCATTGGATGAAGCTTGTTCACTAAACCATAAGTCAACAAAACTACAACCCCTGACCAAATCTGATCCACTGCCTGTCTTTGTATGGCCTGCAACCTAAGAATGGTTTTTACATTTTTAAATAGTTGAACTAAAAAGTCAAAAGAATTACAATATTTGAAGACTCGTGAAAATTTTATGATATTCAAATTTCAGTGTCTATAAGTAAAAATGTATTGGAATATTGTAACACTCATTTGCTTACATACTGTCTCTGACTGCTTTTAATTATAGGTTGAATAGTTGTAACAGAGACTGCATGGCCTGTAAAGCCTAAAATATTTACTATCTGGTTCTTTATAGAAAAAGTTTGCTGACTTCAATTCTAGTAAGAGCTTGTGAGTATAGCATTCTCTGAGTTATTGCATGTTTAAAACTATTTTCCTATACCCTTCATAATTGAAAGACAACTTGTAATTCCTTGGCTCACCCTTCCTTTCTTGAATTATTTGAAAATTTTGCTTTACTCTTAGCTTGCTTTGTCTGTTGTCATGATGTTTCATGCCAGCCAAATTGACTTTCTTTTCTTTGTAAGTGACTTCTCCAATTCTAGAGTCCAGGGTATTATTTTTTTAATCAATGAAATATAATATTTTTCCTAGGATATAACCTGAAGTTGACTGTTTTGAATCAGTTTTCCAAGGTACTTCTGGATTTTATATTCAATATCTGCAGTAAGGTCTTTTATTTATTTTTATTTCTGGAAAGTTTTCTTTGATCAGTTTTAAATATTAGTGCTATTTCATTGTTTAGTTTTCTTTATTAGGAACTACAATTATATATAGTCTGGATTTCTTTGCTTATATTTTATATCAATCATTTTCTATGATTTATTTTATCTCTTTAAAAAATTGATGAGAGAGAGAGAGATCAATTTGTTGTTCCACTTATTTATGCATTCATTGGTTGATTCTTGTATGTGCCCTGACTGGGGATCGAACCCGCAACCTTGGTGTATGGGTCGATGCTCTAACCAGATATCTTTTACCTCTTTCTTTATTTTAACTTCATTGTCTTTGTTATTTTAGTGACTTTAATCCTTGCATCTCATTATATTTTCAACTCTTTTTTTCTTGGTCACTATTCAGTGCAGTCTTGATTTTAAAGATGCTTTTGTCTTTTCATTAAATTTATTTCCTGAGTTCAGTCAACTCAGATTTTGCATCTTCCTTTTGCACATTTTTATTGAGGTTTTAAAATTCATTGTTTGAATTTCTTTTTAATATCTTCAAATGTTTGTTTAAGGATACTTAATTAAGATTGAGAGTTTTATTGCAGTTTTCTTCTGCTTTGAGGGTGGTTATTTGAGGCTTTCCATCAGCTGAAATGACTGATTCTTATTTTCTGTTTTCTTTTTATGGAACTTCGTGTTAACACTTTTTATGCTCATTCTGAGAGATTTTTGTTTTTCTGGATCAGCAAGAAGAGTTTATACAGATAGGAGTCAGGAGTTTGGGTGGCTTACTAGGTTTCATAGTTATTATTAAAGTGCAATTTTTAAAATCAATCATACTTTTGGATAGGGTTTTGGAATATCGCTTAATTTTGTGATTTACATTTATTTATGCAGGATCCCAAAATACAACTTTTGC